CAGGTATGACCTAAATGAAATCCCTTATGATTATACAGTGGAAGCGACAAATAGATTCAAGGGATTAGATCTGATAGACAGAATGCCTGAAAAACTATGGATGGAGGTTTGTAACATCATACAGGAGGCATTGACCAAAACCATCCCAAAGAAAAGAAATGCAGGAAGGCAAAGTGGTTGTCTGAGGAGGCTTTACAAATAGCTGAGGAAAGAAGAGACATGACAGGCAAGGGAGAAAGGGAAAGATATCCCCAACTGAATGCAGAGTTCCAGAGAATAGCAAGGAGAGATAAGAGGGCCTTCTCAAAGGAACAATGCAAATTGAAGGGAAAAATAGAATGGGAAAGACTAGAGATCTCTTCAAGAAAACTGGAGATATTAAGGGGACATTTCATGTAAGGATGGGCAAGATAAATGACAGAAACAGTAAGGACCCAACAGAAGTAGAAGAGATTAAGAAGAGGTGGCAAGAATATGCAGAACTATACAAAAAAGATCTTCATGACCCAGATAATCACGATGGTGTGATCACTCACCTAGAGCCAGACATCCTGGAATGTGAAGTCAAGTGGACCTTAGAAAGCATCACTATGAACAAAGCTAGTGGAGGTGATGGAATTCCAGCTGAGCTATTTAAAATCTTAGAAGATGATGCTGTGAAAGTGCTGCACTCAGTATGTCAGCAAATTTGGAAAACTCAGCAGTGGCCACAGGATTGGAAAAGGTCAGTTTTCATTCCAATCCCAAAGAAGGGCAATGCCAAAGAATGTTCAAACTAACATACAATTGCGCTCATTTCAAAAGCTGACAAGGTAATGCTCAAAATCTTTCAAGCTAGGCTTCAACAGTACATGAACCATGAACTTGAACTTCTGGAGGTAGAAACTGGATATAGAAAAGTCGGAGGAACTGGAGATTAAACTGCCAACATTCATTGGCTCATAGAGAAAGCAAGGGAATTCCAGAAACACATCTATTTCTGTTACAGTGACTACGCTAAAGCCTTTGACTGTGTGGATCACAACAAACTGTGGAAAATTCTTCAAGAGACAGGAATACTAGACCACCTTACCTTACAGGAATCATGTCTCCTGAGACACCTGTATGCGGGTCAAGAAGCAACAGCTAGAACTAGACATGATGGTGTGCTCAGGGACTTGTTTGTGGAGCAAAGAGGGTTAGAGTTACCAGTGTATTATTTGTAATTTCTCACCTATTGATAGCTTAGGGGAAGATATTCAAGAAGTAGGGGATAATAATATAAATAAGTATCCCAAACTGTAAATTTCTGTAAGACCAGAGTAGTCACTGAGACAGTTTCAGAAGTCCTTCAAGTATGGTCTTGTGTCACCAATGATGCATTTCTTCATTGAAGCCATAGATTCTTCATGCAATGCTTGTGGTAGTTTCTCTATCAGTGTCTCCATTAACATTTAAATTACTTTAAATTACTTTATCAGCCTCCCTCAGTGATGAAATGCTGTCACATTTTCCTGTGGTTTCCCAGGGTTTATTGTAGATAAGAGGTTGGTTTCCTGGGTTGGTTTCTGCAGGTGTGGATCAGAGTTCTATTTCTATGCATGGTCTTGTCATTGTTTGTTTACATGTTCAGTTTCTTAGGGCCAGAGTAGAAACTGCCAGTCCTTGAAGACTAGGCCTGAAAATGACCTAGATCACTTTCATTTTAACTCTGTTGGCTCAATCAGTCATGGGTCATGGGACAGATTGAAGTGGAGTGGGCACAAACTCTACCTCTATGATGCCAAGAATGACAAAGAATTTGTCACACTATGACAAACCTAGACAGTGTATTAAAAAGCAGAAATATTACTTTGCCGACAAAGGTCTGTATAGTCAAAGCTATGGTCTTTCCAGGAGTCATGAGAGTTGGACTGTAAAGAAGGCTGAGCATCGAAGAATTGATGCTTTTGAACTGTGGTGTTGGAGAATACTCTTGAGAATCCCTTGGACTGCAAGGAAATCAAACCAGTCAGTCGTAAAGGAAATCAATCCTGAATGTTCATTGGAAGGACTGATGTTGAAGCTGAAGCTTTAATACTTTGGCCACCTAATACGAAGAACTGACTCATTGGAAAAGACCCTGATTTGGGGAGAGATGAAGGCAAGAGGAGAAGGGGATGACAGAGGAGAAGATGGTTGGATGGCATCACCAACTCAATGAACATGAATTTGAGCAAACTCTGGGAGATAGTGAAGGACAGGGAAGCCTGGTGTGATGCAGTCCCTGGGGTTGCAAAGAGTCAGACATGACTGAGTGACTGAACAACAATAGGGAGCATGCAATTTCTCTCTGCAAAGATATTAATAGTTCTTTTATTACTCTAACTGCCTTTTTGAGAGTTCTTCATAAAGTATTTAATGTGAAAATTTACTCTCCTCACACAGATGACAGTTTATGAACTCTTTTCCACGGAGGTAGCTACCCAAGGGTACACATAAGATGAATGCATGCTTCCCAAGGTTCAACCCCACACCTCTCTCAACCAGATTAACTTTGTGACCAAGGAGAATTTCTTGAATTTATTGTAGTCCTTTAGTTTGATACCTGTAAGAGTGGTTAGTCCTAGAAGCTTGTTTTAGATTTCTTCCTCCTAATCCTGCTCTGATTCCCTCTTGGTATTTAATCCCACCAAGTATCTCAGAACAAAGGAACACATAAGAGATCTGGTAAGAAGAAGAGAATTTTTGGCTCTTTATATCATCGCTGAATTGTATACTTAAAAATTGATGAGATGATAAATTTCATGTTGTGTATTTTTTTAACCACACATACATATCCATTATATGTGGAGTTTACTGTGACTTCCAAGATGCTACATAGTCTTGTTTCTGCTTAATTCTAAAAAAATTATGCTGACTGCTTTTCCAGCTCCCAGCCCAGAATCCATGTATTCCTGGGCACTTAGGAATGGGAAAACCCTAAGGGATTTGGTTAGAAAGTAATTTTTGACTTTCTCACAGAAGTAATGAGGCTAGTTCACTACTCTGAACTTCCTTTATTATGTCCAACTCTCCCCAAACCATTCATTCTTAAGTTTTCCAACAAAGTTTATATATCATCACCTCTCCACAGAAATAGCTGTTTTCAAGTCTCAGATGTCACGTTACCAAATCAGTGGACATATTTCATTTCTCATTTTACTTGACCATTCTTGGAAGTTGAACTATTGAAACTTTGATAAAACTTTTCTCCTTTTCAGTAAGAAGGCAAAATTCTTCTTGGACTTGGAAGACAAAATTCAGTTTCAAATCTTATTTCCACCACTTAGTTGTTATGTGGTTGTGGGTTGAACTTTTAATAGTGGGTTTTCTCAATATTCTATTCTTGGTTTTCACTTTGTATCTTCTCATTCAATCATACCTGTAGCTCCATCCATAATTGTAAACATTTACTGAATGCTTGTTATGTTCTAGGCAACATTTCATGTATCAGCCCAGTCTTCACAGCAATGTTAAGGTGGGTATGTACTGTATCTATTTGTACTCTTTAGATGAGAAATTGAGATCCTGAGTAAGTTGCCTAAGGTACACAGCAAATTAATGATAAAACTGACTCTGCCTAGACAGCATCTGGCTTTAGAACTTTCAACCAGTTTAGTAAACTACCTATATATGGATGACTGAGGTCTGATCTTTTGTTTGAAATAGAGATATTTATGTCCATTTACTCATAAGAAAGCTCTACTAGAGTCTCTCCTGGGATTATCAAACTCATGATGTTCAAAACTGATCTTACTGTTTTTCCGTCTCTAATCTTATTCCTTACCTCACTGAATGGCCTCATTCTTCATTCAGTTGCCCAAGTAACAATCCTCTCTTCCTCTTCTTTACCTCTAGATTTGATCAGTAATCAAATTCTGTTGACCTTATTGTTCAGATATTCCATGACCACTAAACTGGTTCAGATTCTCATTTTGTCTCTCCCTTGGATTGATGTGTTTTGGAGAGAGTTTTCCTGCAGGTAGGGGAAGATGGAGTCTGCCCTGTAGGATTGTCCTGGTCAAAGAAAAACTTAACAGACATTTAGCTATTTGGTAAGAAGAATTTTGATTCACGTGTGAAGGAGTTCATTGACTGAGTTAAGGAACAATGTCACAGATAAATTCCACAAGAGAAGGAGAGCATAGAGAAATACCGAAGTCTAGAATGTTCCCAGTGAATCTTGTTTGTACCTTTTGAGGTAGATGATTTTCTGTCAGCTATCAAAGAGGAATGTCTGGTAATTCTGTCCTCAAGGGGATAGATATATGAAAAAAAAAAAAAAAAAGCAATTTCCATTGTTTATGGCATCTTAAGAAAAGGATGAAAGTTTAGCTCTAGGGTATATGTATCTGGCTATCTCTGTTGTAATACCCATCACTGTCCTATCAACCTGCCCCTTACTGAGGCTAGGTCAGCACTGTTTCCTTTGTTATAATTTAAATTATTCAGAATGTTAGTTAGTCCTGACTCCTCTAGAGAAGGGCCTCAAGTGGGAGTTCAGTTACTTCCTTTTGAGACTAAAGTGGCAAATGTGTCACAAAAATGGAAAGAAGCATTTTTTTCCATATCTGTGTCTGTGGCAAATCCATGAAACCTGCATATTTGGTGCTGCCAACTTTGTAGCTTTGTAGGAGTATTTTGGGGACAGCACCTCAAGCAAGGAAGAAGGATACTTACTGCGGCTAGTGCCCCTTTTATGTGTTGCTTGTGGAGCACAAGCATAGACATAATATTGTTTGAGTCTAATTAGAAGAATTGAGCTTGTTTTATTGATCCTGATGATGAATACATGGAACAATGACTATGTTGGAAAAAATACAGGATTTGATTAAATTACTTCTTCCTTGTATTCCTTATTTATTTATTTATTTTTGGTATGATATATATCTGCCATTTGCAAATACAGTTTTCAGTGAAAGAGGAAAAGCTGTTATTCTTACCTTGGGGAAATAAGTCTTTTAGGGTATATAAGAAATAAGCATGGAAGAGACATACTATGATATATGGTCAATTGTTTATTTTCAGTTTTCATGTAGATCATTTTACTGGATTCTATATGCCCAAGGTGATTAATGAATGCAGAATAATACAGAGTTCTAATAGGAGGATAATAGAAGCAGGTGTGCAAACCCATTATAATATAAAGCAGCTTTGATAAACGGAAGGTGACTTTATATTATTTCCATTGATATTATTGAATATATTGAAGAACCAGTCTGGAGAGATACTGAAATTTAACCTCTCAAGAGAAAAATGCTTACTTGAATGCCAAACTCTAAATATTCACTTTTCAAATTAGAGCAGCTATGATATAGATTTCATCCAAAACCAGTTTCTTACTTCATATTCAACCGTTCCAAGAAAGAAAAAGAAACAACCAGGCTAAAAAAAAGTCACTCAGTCCAAAATAAAGAGAAAAAAATGCAAATTTCCAGAAAGATTAATGAAAATTTCCTTGATTCAAAGCAGTGACATTCAGCTACTCTTTGAAATAATGCTTTTTTTTTCCTTCAAATTAGCTTCTCTCTAATAAGGGCCTCCTGATTGCTCATAGTGGCCCACTTCTTCCGGGAAAGTGCTGGGACCTGAGTCTCCATGGACAGATTCACTCTGCCTATAAGTGTCTGTCCACTTTTGATGTGACTGTGAGTTCCTGGGGGAGTCTTGTGACTGGCCATAGGAAGACCCATGTTGGTTCCTTGAAGTGGATCCGGACCTTCCTTGGGTGGTCACGGAATGCCTCCCTTCATCTCCTGAATATCCTTCACTGTCACTGGCCTGACTGACACTGGAGTCCCTGTGTCTACTGCTTCCAGATCCAGCGGAGGTTTGTCCATGGCCAGTCCCAGTGCGTCTGGCAGTGTCTCTTGATTGTTCATGGCGACTCCCCTGTCCGTGGGAAGTTCTGGATCCGGAGTCTCTGTGGACAGATTCTCTCTGCCTGTGTGTGTCTGTCTGCCCATGACGCGACTCTGATCGCCGAGAGGTGTCTCTTGACTGGCCATGGGAAGCCCCATGTTGGTTCCTTGAAGTGGATCTGGACCTTCCTTGGGTGGTCACAGAATGCCTCCCTACATCTCCTGAATATCCTTCGCTGTCACTGCCCTGACTAACACTGGATTCCCTGTGTCTACTGCTTCCAGTTCCGGTGGAGGTTTGTCCATGGCCAGTCCCAGAGTGTCTGGTTGTGTCTCTTGATTGTTCATGGCGACTCCCCTGTCCGTGGGAAGTTCTGGATCCTGAGTCTCTGTGGACAGATTCTCTCTGCCTATGTGTGTCTGTCTGCCCATGACGTGACTCTGAGTGACCTGCGGTGTCTCCTGACTGGCTATGGGAAGCCCCATGTTGGTTCCTTGAAGTGGATCCGGACCTTCCTTGGGTGGTCACAGAATGCCTCCCTACATCTCCTGAATATCCTTCGCTGTCACTGCCCTGACTAACACTGGATTCCCTGTGTCTCCTGTATCCAGATCCAGTGGAAGTTTGTTCGTGGCCATTCCCAGAGTGTCTGGCACTATCTCCTGATTGCTCATGGTAGAATCCATGACTTTGTGTAGTTCTTGATTTCGTTTCAGTGTTGGGAAAGGTGTTTCCTTGCAGAGCAGCCATTTTTATGTGTTTTTGAAGCTCTGTAAAAGAAAATGAAATGTATTCTCATTACAGTTCCTTTCTGTTTCTGCATTATTAGTCTTATTATAATTTATTTCCACATTTTAAGATCTCTGCAGTGTTGGGCAGCTTTAATATTGTTAAAACAAAAAGATGAAAAAATTCTATGCTTTGCATCTTAATATTAGTATGGCTTTATTGAATTACTAAGATTGCCGATTTCTTGTCCATGAATTCTCAACAGTAGGAGCAATACATTTTCACAGACCTCGGTGTGATGTAGATAAGCATGTCATGCTCATCTGGCAATTTCTTATAGGAAGTTTATTGAAGGACCCTAACAGCAGCTAACTGAAATTTTCTTCATACGAATTTTCTGAAATAAATTTTCTAAAAGCTTATTTCCTAAATTATTAGTGTGTTGAGATACAATTTGCTGTTAGTCAGTTTGCCAAATGCCCCAGCACTTAGTGAGTGTCAGCCTAGTGTTTCTTTTTTCCTGAATAATTCTTGAAGTTTTCATCATTTTTTGTTGTATAGTGTTTTTAATGTATTAAAATATATACATTTTAAATGTATACATATTATATATGTAGAAATATTTATACAATATTTATATTGTATACTGACTTTCAGTATTAGGGAAAACTTTTTTTTTTTGCCTCTTAGCATATAAGCAATGTTATTTTATCTCTTTGAGGAAGCAAGGAAGCTCCCAAGCATTATCAGTAACTCTAAATAAGCATTTATCCTATAATAATACTACATAAAATTTATTATAAAATGATAATTATATTATTTTATGAAAACATTATTTGAAAACAGACAAACTAAAATAGTATAGGAAACAACAATGTGTTAGTCATAGGCATATTAGTCACAGCAAAAGCGTTTATGAACCTTGCCTTGTTTGGTAAGAAGAATAGATGTTGATCAGTCTTTGACATGGTTACACATGTAATTTTGGTAAGTTTATTGGAAATCCTAACAGACTAGAATTTATAACTTTTTAAGCATTAGAGGAAAAAGTGGAATAAAAAACACAATTTTCAGGCCAGGAAGGATCTGGCACAGTAAATGCAGGGTAAGGAAAGTAAAAAATGAGTAGAATTACATAATTTTATCATTAATTACAGTACATATAGTAGGAATAAGACTGCAGATCAAAAGGTAGATTCTAAACATTGTTAAATAAAGTTATATGCTTCTTACAAAATAACACACCCAAGATTTGATATTTTTTCATTCTTTGTTGTTTATGGTAGTATTCAACCTTGAACTTGATTGTAATTACAGTGTCTCCAAAATCTTAGTCTCAAGAATGGCACACTGACTTCCTCTAATACTCTGACTTCAGTCATTCTTAGATCTCGCTGTCTGTTTACGTTCTGTGCACTCACTTTACTTTTTTCCTTGGTTGGCGATTATGTTTAGTCTCTCTCAGTGTGCCTTTGCCACTCCCTCTATTTCTTAACCTACTTTTTGTTATACACACTGGGGAAGCTCCAATGGCTTCTTATTTTCCTTTATTTTAGGACATATCCTTGATGTGGGGGTCTTCTCTGGTGGCTCAGACAGTAAAGAATCTGCCTGCAATGCAGGAGACCCAGGTTCAGTCTCTGAATCAGGAAGATGCCATGGAGAAGGGAATGGCTACCCACTCCAGTATTCTTGCCTGGAGAATTCCATTTTATTTACTGAGAACTTTGGATCTGTGACAAAATAATTTCCTCATTTTTGGCAGTGTCTGATCATCCAACCTATTGCATTTATGTCCATATACCTTAACCTTCACTGCTGTTACACAGATAGATTAACTGTTTGTACTTCTGTCCTTTATTTTGGCACTGGACGTGACTCTCTCTTGACTGTTCAAACTGCTTTTTCAGTTGTCCACTTCCATGAATCATCAATTTATCTTTCTCTACTGGATAATTTCCTTCAGCATATACTCATGCGGATATGTCTCTTATTGAACACCCTCTCCTGCTGTCCCACATAGCCCTTGAGGCATGACCTGATTTGTATTTTCTCTTTTATAGCAAAATCACTCAAAATATAGGCCCATATTTTCTTTCTTCACTTCTTATTTTTTTAACTCAAATTTTCTTTCTCTCTCAAAAATTCACCAAAACTTCTCATGAAGCTAAAAATTCCCTTCACCTTACCAAATCCACCTATCCATTTTCATTTCACGAATTGCTTGACATGTCAGTATCATTTGATGCCGCTTGCTACACCCTCCTTTAAAAAGACCTGACATTTTCTTGTTTCTCCTTTAGCCTCACTACTCACTTTCTCTTAGTCTCCTCTTTTGGCCCCTGATGTTGATATTTCTTGAGATTCACTCCTAAGCTTCTTTTGTCTTTATAGTCCATCAGAGGATCATCTAGCAGTAAGTCTGACAGATGAATTTTCAAAAGAAACAATAGAAGCCAGAAAATATTCTCATCTTTCTCTAGGAAAGTAAGTTCTAGTCTAGAATTCTATACCCAGTGAGAGTATTCATGAAAAAAAAAAAAAAAGCCTAAGTAAGGATATTTTCAAGCAAATAGATCTGCTATGAAGGAAAATAAGCTGATAAACATTTACTATATTCAAAAAAGTCAAGAAGAGGGGAAAAAAATGAAAAAAATGGGAAACTAGAAAACAAATAGCAACATGGTAGATTTAAAACAATAATCCAAATCCACTGACTAACAAGTGGGCTAAATAATCTAATTTAAAAATAATGGTTGTCAGGTTGCAAAAAAAAAACAACTATGTGTTGCTTACAAGAAACGTACGTTAAATATGATAAAAATGGTTGAAAGTTAAAGGAGGAAATATATACTGTTCAAAAACTAAAAGAAAGCTATTTTTGCTGTATTAATATCTGTATAGTAGACTTTCAAACAAAAAGAATTACTAGAGGAATATTTCACAATTATAAAAAATTCACCAAGAAGATATAAAAAAACCTAAATTTATATATACCTAATAACATAGCCTCAAAATACATAAAACAAAAATTGATAAAACTATGAGGAGAAATAGACAAATGTATAATCTTAGTGGGTTACATACTGCTATTAACAACTGATAGAATGAGTAGACAAACAAATTGTAAGGATATAAAAGCTTCCACAAAATCTTTGATAAAAGCATCACCTAACATATATTGAATGTTATATCCAAGAACTCCAAATTACACATCCTTTTAAAATGAACACAAAACATTTAAATTTTCCTATATGCTGGGTTATAAAGCAAATTTCAACAATTTTTAAAGGATTGAAATCATACAGAATTTTCTACCACAGTGAAATGAAGCTAGAATTCAATAATGGAAAGACACTGAGAAGAATCTCCAAATGTTTAGAAAGTAATAAATTGTTTCTAAATAAGAAATGTGTATAGAATAAATTACAATGTAAATTAGAAAATAGGTTAAGCTAAATGAAAGTGAGAAAAATGTGAAATTGCAAAACTTATAGGATATATTAATTCCATGACTAATGAGAAATGCATAGTTTAAATGCATATATTAAAAAAGAAGATAAAAAGGCTGGAAAGTCAATAACTTAAGCATACATCTCAAGAAGTTTGGAAAAACCCTCAAAGTCGGCTCAAAGATAGTATAATGAAAGTGAAGTGAGGTCGCTCAGTCGTGTCCGACTCTTTGCGACTCCATGGACTGTAGACTACCATGCCCTTCCCTCCATGGGATTTTTCAGGCAAGAGTACTAGAATGGGTTGCCATTTCCTTTTCCAGAGGATCTTCCCAACCCAGGGATCGAACCTGGGTCTCCTGCATTATAGGCAGACACTTTACCGTCTAAGCCATCAGGGAAGTCAATAAAAATAAGAACTGATATTAATGAAAGAGAAAACAAATGTCGAGAATCAACAAAGCCAAGATTTTTGCAAAAATCTAGTAAAAATGAGAAACCCTGAAAGATTAATCAAGGAAAGAGTAAAGGCATAATTAATTAGTATCAGAAAGATAAAAGGGGACATTGCTATAAATTTTATAGACAGTAGAAAGGTAAGTGTGTAATATTAAAAAAAAACACTTTATGTAAAAAATGTTCAAATTTAAATGAAATGGATATATTTCCAGAAAAACACTTCACACCAAAATGAAAGCAAGAAGAATAGAAAACCTAAATAGAATTTAAAACCTAATAGAATTTAAAAATTCTATTTTTAAAAGAAATTGAATGTTAAATGAATACATTTCCAGTGAAGGAAGGTGGGAACTGCAGGTTAGATGAAAATACTTGTGAATTTTACTTAACTGAAAGTCATTCAGTTGTGTCCGACTCTTTGGGACCCCATGGATCGTAGTCCATGGAATTCTCCAGGTCAGAATACTGGAGTGTGTAGCCTTTCCCTTCTCCAGGGGATCTTCCCAACCCAGGGCTCAAACCTTGGTGGATTCTTTACCAGCTGAGCCACAAGGGAAGCCCAGCAATAGTGGAGTGGGTAGACTATCCCTTCTCCAGCAGATCTTCTCAAACCAGGAATCGAACTGGGGTCTCCTGCATTGCAGGCGGATTCTTTACCAACTGAGCTATCAGGGAAGCCCATTCCAAGTAATACTAACATCTCATGGATTATTTCAGAGAAATGAAAAAGGGGAAAGACACATTTTACAAATCTGGTATAACTTAAGTACTCATAACTTGACAAAGATATTACTGGAAAAAAACTTTTTATGACAATTTCTTTTGTAAATATAGATACAAAAATCTGAAGGAAAAGAATTAGTAAGCTGAATCCAGTGTTTATACATCATACCTAATTAAGTTTTAATCCCCAGACTCAAGTTTGGTTTAATGTTTGAGAACTGATTGATTAAGTACTCTAATAGTACTTAATCAAATGGGGGAAGTTTTTATGACCCTCTCAAGAGATGTAAAAAACCATTTTATAAAATCAACCATAATTCTTACTTATAAATAAAAGAGATCAATTATATCTATGAAGATGCTATAGCAAACATCATACTTAATAGTTAAATGCTGAAAGCTTTCTGAGTTTGGGGATGAGATCAGTATACCTACTAATATCCTATTCAACACTGTATTGAAGGTCCTGGTCAGAGCAATAGTTAAGACAAAGAATTAAAAACAGAATAATTGGAAAGGAAGTAATAAAACTGTCATTACTCAGAGGATGATGTGATTTTTCTATGTGGAAAATTAAAACAAATGTACAGCTAAACTATTAGAATAAATAATACTAACAATGTTGCTTGGTAAAAGATAAACATAAAACCAATTGTATTTTTATATCAAATCAGTGAAGTATTAGAAAATGAAATTAGCAATGATGCTATCTACAAAAGTATAAATTCCTAGTAATAAATCTAATGAAAGATATGAAATATCTGTCCTTAGAAAGTTATGAATATTATTGAGATTAAAGAAGATTTAGATAAATGGAGGAATATGCTTTGTTCATGGGTTGAAAGTTATTAAGATGGCAATATTAAGATATCAAATCTTGCCAAATTCATTTTTACATGCAGTAAAATTCCATTCAGAATCCATAAAGTTTTTAAAAATAAAGATTGATAAAATAATGTCTAAAATTTATATGAAAATGTGGAGGGACAAGATTAGCCAAGACAACATTGAAGAAGACAAAGTTTGAGAACATACCACACACTGTAAAGTGTGTTATAGAAGAAGACAGTCTGACATTGGTGAAATGCTAAGCAAATAGATCATTGAAAGGTAACATTCCAAAATCAGACCTATATCACAGTGGATATTTGATTTATGATAATGATGGTGGAGCAAGTCTGTTAGGAAAGGGTAGTCTTTTGAATAAATGGTGTTGGGTTAGTTGAATTCCTGTATGGAAAAATGAATTTGTTCCCAGGAAGTTTTCACATGTAAAAGATAGAAGAAGATAAAAGAAGACAATATAGGAGAACAAATTCAAGAACTTGAAGTAGAGAAATACCTCTTAAATAGAATTCAAAAAGTATTAATCATAAAGAAATTGATTTACAAATTGGACTGCATTAAAAATAGGAATATGTTCTTTAAACTCTTAAAGGAGAGAAGGGAAGCCACTGAGAGGGAGGATATATGTAATACATTTAACCAATAAAAGGATCTCTCCTGAGTATAAAAACAACTCCTGTAAGACAATACGAAAATAAAATGAAAGAGAAAAATGGATAGAGAACAGAAGAACTATAAAAGGATATCTAAATGGCTAACAAATGCACAAAAGATTTTAACCTTATTAATCATCAGATAAATACAAATTAAAATTACAGTGTGAGGCTATGGTAACCTCACCAAAATGACCGAAAAGACAAAAACAAAAAGAATCCCAATTCCACATACTGGTGAGGACATGGAGAAACTGGATCTTTCATACACTGCTAGAAGGAGCATAAACTTGCAGAAGTACTTTCAAAAACTGTTTGCTCATACCTAAGATCAGCAATTTGGACTTCTCTGGTGGCTCAGTAGTAAAGAGGAACCACAGAAGATGTGGGTTTGATCCCTGGGTGGGGAAGACACCTGGAGAATGGCATGGCAACCCACTCCATTATTCTTGCCTGGAGAATTCCATGGACAGAGGAGCATGGCAGGCTATAGTCCATAGGGTTGGGAAGAGTCAGACATGGCTGAAGCAATTTAGCATGCAAGATCAGCAATTTACTCCTAAGAATATTCCCAATATAAATCGCATTTGTAACCAAAAATCATGTACAAAAATGCTCATAGCTGTATTATTTATAATACCTCTGTAAATAGAAACAACCCAATAACTATCAATAAAAAATGACTAAATACATTGTGGAATTTTCATATAATAGAGGTGAGAGTGGAGGATAAACTAGACTAGGATGGAAATGGTAGACAGGAAGACAGATGGATTGGCATGTGTGACAGTCAGAGTTGGCTGGTCAGAGAGAAAAATCAGTGTAGTGTAAAGCAGAGAATGGAGACATGCGTAGCTTCTAGACTTGTGTTTGAACAAATTACCCCATCGTCTCTCGTCTAAACTGCAGTCCATCTCCTTGCTCCTACCATTGCTTATGATCCTATTTTCCACATAGGCGCTCAAAATGATCTTGTTATTCTTCCTGCTTAATAGTCTCCAATGGCTTCTCATCTACTTCAGATAATGTGCACTCTACTATGCCCCTCTTTACATGGCCTACCCATCTACCCCTTTGACTCACCATAGACCTCTGTTCCTCTTTTGTGCATGCTCTAGGCATGCTATGTTCTTTTTTGTTTTAAACTAAGTTTACTCTTGCTTTAGAATCCTCTTATTTGCCTTGACTAGTTTCTTCTGTCATGAAGATCTCTGCTCAAAAGATAATTCCTCACAGAGGCCTTTTCTAACCTTCCAATCTCAAGTACTATCCTCCTATTACATTACTATATCACTGTCTTATTTTCTTCATTGTACTTATCTCTATTCAAAATTTTCATTCATTTCTTGTTTACTGAATGTATCCCCCTACTAAGTTTACATTGTTCACTGCCACATAATCAGCCAAGAGCAGCATGTGGCAAACAGAAAGTAGTTAAGATGTATTTGTTCAATGAATGGATAAATAGATAATCCAGCAATATTAAGAGAGTAGCCTTGTAAAAAGCAAATTTATGCCCTCATTTTTGTTCTATATCAAAGTGAACTTTTAGTAACATTGCCACTAAAAATAGAGAACCCCAAACATCCAGAACTTTTGGCCTCAGACCACACAGACATCAAGATCTCCACTTTGCTTAAGAATAAGTAGACAAGGTGAGATTTAGTCCCACTTACTTACTTCCTTCCTTCACCAGAAGAGCAAGGAGATTGTAGCCTGGAGGACCTTGTTGGGTGCTGAAGTCTGGGATCATCACCTTTTTATAGCAGGTCCATCCAGGGAGGAGCCATCCTCTGTAGAATGGTCTGATTCACTCCTAACCAAACTCAGGTCCACCCATATCTCCACCTCTATTTCTCCAGAGACCTGTTTACTTCCAAACTTGCTCACGTATTCATCTGTGCTTGTTTTACCAAGTTACAATTTAGGTTTACATCATTCCTGTGCATACTGTAGATTTCATGGAAGATTCCCTTTGGCTAGCATAGGTTCTTTGTGTGCAGGGTCCACACCTTCTGGTTTTTGTTGTTATTGTTGTTACCCCCACTTTGAAAGGTAGATACTTGATAAATATCTACTGATAAGTGTACTTCCTTATCCTTGTTTCTAGAGGAAAAGTAGAGTATACATTTTTGAAAAAATTAAATTTGGCTTATACTTAAGCCAACGTTACAAGCACCTACCTACAGGTCCCTTTTACTAATAAATTCCATCTCTGAATCCTGAGAGAATTTGCCATGATGAATGTTGACCTTCTACAAAGTATAGTGAGCACAGAGAAGACAGGCATATTTAATTTTGATTTTTCAAAAAAGCAAGAAAGTGGGCTCTTGAGTTAGAAGCAGTGATCACTAGGAGCTGACATGAACTTATTAGGTAAGAATCATTAGTTTTGTTTTCAAGGTTGCTAATTGGGGTACCAGAGACATGTTCTACCTACTCTTCCTATGGGATAAACTGTGACTTTTCTCACTGGTCTCATAAATATACAGGAGATGCCTATCCTTGGCCTCTCAATTTCCAGACTGTATGTCAGGTTACTTTTCTGCTTGGATGTCCCCTAGTTACCTCAGTCCATACTGTTCAAAACTGAACTCATTTTCATGCCTTATGCCAAAATATACCATCCTCCAGAGGTCTGTATATTGGTCCATCCGCTGAGTGTCTAAAGCCACATAAAGTCTTTTCCTGTCTCTCTCTCTCTCTTTAGCCCTTATGCTCATGTCATACTTGACATATCACTTCTCCCTAGACTTGTATTATGTTCTTAATATACAGGCCTATCCTCTATCTCCAGTATGGCAATTTTAGTTCTGGACCTCACCATCTTTCAGTTGGACATTAGTAAAAAGTGTCATAACCAGCCCCTCCACTAATAGCCTGCTGGATTCATCTTTTATGCTTTTCACTCCTTCTGGTGGCTGTTGCTTGCCTGGAGAATTCCAAATTTCTTTACTTGACATATAAGCTTCCTCACAGTAGGAATGAATCTGTATCTTTTTAGCAGCTTCTCTGTTCACCTTATTTTATGGAAAAGTCACTCTAGACTGATCCACATTCCTTGCATGACCTTTTAATGGTCCAGCACTATTTAGATTCTCCACATGCTGTCCTTACTACTGAGGAGTCCATCAACCTTAGCTTCTTTTCATCCTTTAAGCCTTTCCCGAATCACTACCTCCTTTATAAAGCCTCACCTTACATCTGCAGATAGATCATTGTTCCCTCACATACTCTGTATTTCTCTCTCTTATACCACTGGTGATATTTTAATGATTTATTTTTGTGTCTGCAGCAGCCCTCAGCTTCCCAATTTTGTGTCTCTTCTTACACAGTCAACTGGATCTTGACTCACTTTTTGTGTTCTTAGACCCATATAATTCGTAAGACATAATCAAAACAGAAATGCAGGGTCGGGTGGGGATAGGGTGAAGTTGATCTTGTCAAGGAGGTAAAAATATGCCCAAGTTTTAATACGTTGTTCAGTGCCCTCATTTTTAACCTTATGAGACCACCAGTTCTTTCTTTTCTTTTGTGGAACGTTTAGTTAACATCCACTGAACACAAGTCTTCATTTTCTCCTCTTTTCTTCTGGGCTTAATTATCTTTTTGTGCAAGGACTTTTGTCTCTCTCTTACCAGGCTATAATAATAGTCAAAATCCATATTGGGTGGCCATTCATTATGTGTCAAGAATGTGCTAAAGTTTTACACGCATTCCTCCTAATCCTCAGAACAGTCTTTTGAGGTCATTATTATTATCTGTAATTTTGAGATGAGGGAACTGATAGTAATACAGCGCCCAAGATTACCCAGCGAGTAGGTTACAGAATCAAGATTCAATCCCAGGTCATTCAGACTCCAATTCCCACATTATTTCCAGTGTAACACATTGCTCTGGGTGTGTGAACCTCCACCCATAAAGCCATTTTTGTATTTTGTTGTTTTAAACAGTGTTTCTCTCAAAGTGCCTTACATCCTGGGTGAATTAAACTATGGAAATCATTGCAGGGGCAGCAGTGTGAGTGAGCTGAGGAAAGTGGGATCAGGAGAGTGGCAAGACTGGGGCAATCTGGGCTGTGATGTTTTAGTGACCAGAGGACACAAATCTTTCAATTTCTATCCATAGAGGGCAGACCTGGTAGTCGGCTCCTGCACTGTTTTCTTGACTATGTTATGATCATTATATTCTTATCAATAACTTGGATGAAAATATGTGCAAATGGCAAATATTTTTAGGACAGAGTGAAGTTCCAAGGACATTGTATCGTGTTGCACCAATAGCTCAAATCTAATAAAAATGTTTTGTTGTTTAGTCGCTAAGTTGTATCCAACTCTTTGTGACCCCATGGGCTATAGCCCGCCAGGCTCCTCGGTCCATGGGATTTCCCAGGCAAGAATACTGCAGTAGGTTGCCATTTCCTTCTCCAAGGGAATCTTCCTTGACCAGGGATTGATCCTGCATCTTCTGCATTGGCAGGCAAATTCTTTACCACTGAGCCACCAAGGAAGCCCAGAAAGAGACATACTAAGGACTGAGCTTCAAACTGAGGACAGAGTTAATACCACAACTGACCAGAGTAGGTTGTATGGAGAAAAAAGGAAGCAGCGAAGGCCTTTGTACAAGACAAATCCCACTATTTTTCAGCTGATGGGCCAAGATTTCAACTACAGGGTCCTGGGTGGGTTTAGTTCTGCTCCTGCAGGCCAAAGGCTGGAGATGCTAGCAGCACAGTAAGTAAAATTCTGACTTTGGTTCTAAATTAAACTTTACAAGGACAGGGTATAAGCCTTGAGTAAAACAGGGGATATTGTGGCAGTGGCAATGTGATGTAGTGGCCCCAAATGTATTGCTATTTCAGGCTACATTAAAAGAAGCACATTAACTGGAGCAAAATAAGTGGTGGTGTTCTTGTCAGATTGTTTCTACAGCTTTTTATTTAGTTCTGACCCCAACTTCTCAACAGGAATGTTGTCAACTTGTTATGTGTTCTGAGTCAAGTAAGTAGGGTGATTGACCAGATGGGTGGTAAAGGGAATGGCATGAGATGCAAGCGGTGGAAATAGAATATCTGCTTTCAAATATGTGGGAAGCTCTTATAATTGGGTTGTATAAAAGCTCAGATACATGGGTAGAAAAACATGGGAAAGTGTATTTTGGCTTTGAATAGACAGAACATTTTAATCATCATAATTGTCCAAGCATGGAAGTAAGATGGTTTGGAGACAGTTCCCTATCACTCAACTGAATTGGTTGAGCTGTTGGCATTCAGTTAGTCTAGGCCCCTTGTACTGTGGTTGACCATCAGGAGGTCCAATGCTACATGACTTATAAATCAACAATTCAGAACTTGGGCTTCCAACTCAGATTTTTCACTCCAGATGCACTTTTCATCTGCATCTATTACTGGAGATAGGGTTATTTTTGAGAGTTGTTGAGTAGAGGAACATTTGGGTGGATGTTTGATAAATCCCTCTTTCAAACTGGGAGCTGTGATTCTATGATTCAGGTAAATTGCTTTGCCTGATTTGATTCAGCTCAGCTCAGATGGCCTGAGTGCAGCTTACTACTGATCAGTGCAGTTTACTACTGCAGGGGTAACAGAACTATCAATTCCACTTTATAGTGGAATTTCCACTACACTATATATATATGGAATATGCTTCCATATTCTGCTTCTTGCTAACAAACCTGATCTCTCTTCCATATTAGCTTTTTACTTTTAGAATCCCAAAGAATTTTCCTTTTATTTTTTTTTTGCTTTTTTTTTTTTATTAGTTGGAGGCTAATTACTTTACATCATTACAGTAGTTTTTGTTATACATTGAAATGAATTAGCCATGGATTTACATGTATTCCCCATCCCAGTCCCCCCTCCCACCTCCCTCTCCACCCGATCCCTCTGGGTCTTCCCAGTGCACCAGGCCCGAGCACTTGTCTCATGTACCCAACCTGAGCTGGTTATCTGTTTCACCCTAGATAATATACATGTTTCAATGCTGTTCTTTTGAAACATCCCACCCTCGCCTTCTCCCAGAGAGATAAAGACCATTACAGTATACTAACACATATATATGGACTTTAGAAAGATGATAACGATAACCCTATATGCAAAACAGAAAAAGAGACTCAGATGTATAGAACAGACTTGTGGACTCTGGAAGAATTTTCCTTTTAAACCTTTAAAATCACTGACCATGAATAGTAAACTCTAAGATGTAAGGTATCTTCTCTATCCTCAGAGAGACCTTACTCTTCACGTCAGTGTTAACCAGAAAATGAAATAGTTTCAGAGGCATTTTAGGTGTTCACAGTTACATCTCATGGCTGCCAGGATTTGATAAGTTGTGAAGTGCTAAGTATGAGTCATGTCCAACTCTTTGTGATCCCCATGGACTACTGTAGCCCACTAGGCTCCTCTGTCCAAGGAATTCTCCAGGCAACAATACTGGAGTGGGGTGCCATTTCCTACTCCAGGGGATCTTCCTAACCCAGGGACTGAACCTGCATTTTGCATGTTTCCTGCATTGGCAGGCAGATTCTTTACCATTGAGCCACCTGGGAAGCCTAAGTTGTGAAGAAAGCTCCCCAAATGTCAAGCATTATTGACAAATCAGAAATTATAGGATTTCAGTTGCAATTATTCATTTGTGGTTGTCCCTCCCTTTTCCTATCCAATGGGCTAGAAGGGCATTTTGCTGCCATATGGCCTGTAGGCTGCTGATGTGTGTCAAGCTGTCACGATTCATGGGAGCA